TTCCACACTTTACGCCACTGCATCCCCCACACTTTACGCCACTGCACCCCACACTTTATGCCACTGCATTCCACACTTTACCCCACTGCATCCCACACTTTACACTTTACTGCACTGCACCCCACGTTTTACTGCACTGCACCCCACGCTTTACACCACTGCACCCCACGCTTTACACCACTGCCTCCCACGCTTTACACCACTGCATCCCCCACTTTACGCCACTGCATCCCACACTTTACACCACTGCATCCCCCACTTTACGCCACTGCATTACATGCCTTACGGCACTGCATTCCACGCTTTACACCACTGTACCCCACGCTTTACACCACTGCATCCCACGCTTTACACCACTGCATCCCACACTTTACGCCACTGCATCCCACGCTTTACACCACTGAGTCCAACGCTTTACACCACTGTATCCAACGCTTTACACCACTGAGTCCCACGCTTTACACCACTGTATCCCACACTTTACGCCACTGGATCCCCCACTTTACGCCACTGCATTACATGCCTTACGGCACTGCATTCCACGCTTTACACCACTGTATCCAACACTTTATGCCACTGCATCCCACACTTTACACCACTGCATCCCACGCTTTACACCACTGTATCCCACACTTTACGCCACTGCATCCCACGCTTTACGCCACTGCATTCCACGCTTTACATCACTGCATCCCACGTTTTACACCACTGCATCCCACACTTTACGCAACTGCATCCCACGCTTTAAACCACTGCATCCCACGCTTTACACCACTGCATCCCACGCTTTACACCACTGCATCCCACGCTTTACACCACTGCCTCCCACGCTTTACACCACTGCATCCCACATTTTACACCACTGCATCCCACGCTTTACACCACTGCATCCCACACTTTACACCACTGCATCCCACACTTTACACCACTGCATCCCACACTTTACACCACTGCATCCCACACTTTACACCACTGCATCCCCCACTTTACGCCACTGCATCCCACACTTTACACCACTGCATCCCCCACTTTACGCCACTGCATTACATGCCTTACGGCACTGCATTCCACGCTTTACACCACTGTACCCCACGCTTTACACCACTGCATCCCACGCTTTACACCACTGCATCCCACACTTTACGCCACTGCATCCCACGCTTTACACCACTGAGTCCAACGCTTTACACCACTGTATCCAACGCTTTACACCACTGAGTCCCACGCTTTACACCACTGTATCCCACACTTTACGCCACTGGATCCCCCACTTTACGCCACTGCATTACATGCCTTACGGCACTGCATTCCACGCTTTACACCACTGTATCCAACACTTTATGCCACTGCATCCCACACTTTACACCACTGCATCCCACGCTTTACACCACTGTATCCCACACTTTACGCCACTGCATCCCACGCTTTACGCCACTGCATTACATGCTTTACGGCACTGCATTCCACGCTTTACACCACTGAATCCCACACTTTACGCCACTGCATCCCACACTTTACTCCACTGTATCCCACACTTTACGCCACTGCATCCCACACTTTACACCACTGCATCCCACGCTTTACACCACTGCATCCCACGCTTTACACCACTGCATCCCACGCTTTACACCACTGCCTCCCACGCTTTACACCACTGCCTCCCACGCTTTACACCACTGCCTCCCACGCTTTACACCACTGCTTTACGCCACTGCATCCCGCGCTTTACGCTACTGCATCCCACGATTTACGCCACTGCATCCCACGCTTTACACCACTGAGTCCCATGCTTTACACCACTGTATCCCACACTTTACGCCACTGCATCCCACACTTTACACCACTGCATCCCCCACTTTACGCCACTGCTTCCCACACTTTACACCACTGAGTCCCACGCTTTACACCACTGTATCCCACACTTTACACCACTGCATCCCACACTTTACACCACTGCATCCCCCACTTTACGCCACTGCATCCCACGCTTTACACCACTGAGTCCCACGCTTTACACCACTGTATCCCACACTTTACACCACTGCATCCCACACTTTACACCACTGCATCCCCCACTTTACGCCACTGCATCCCACACTTTACACCACTGCATCCCCCACTTTACGCCACTGCATTACATGCCTTACGCCACTGCATCCCACGCTTTACACCACTGTATCCCACACTTTACGCCACTGCATCCCACACTTTACACCACTGCATCCCCCACTTTACACCACTGTATCCCACGCTTTACACCACTGCATCCCACGCTTTACACCACTTTTGGCAATATAGTGTAGATAGATGGACAGACACACACACACAAACACACAGGCAGACCCCGGGCATGATGATGTTCTCCACGTCCTGCATGATGCGGCTCCAGTCCTCAGGCTCGTACGGGGCGCTGCTGGGCAGAAGAGGACGCATGAACCCCGGCTGAACATCCGGAACCACCCGCCGCTCACGGATCCGTGTGAGATACTGCTGTATGAAGTCCACCATCTCCTTCCCTACACACACACACACACACAATAGAGGAACATCAACACATTAAAACAAACACACCCAGCAAGCAATAGCCGTCATTTCACCGTCTCTGTTAACTATAGACCCGATATACTCCGGCTATAAGTAACACACTTCTAGACAAAAATTTTTTGGGTACATGTCGTTTTTGCCAAAATAACTTGTGAGATAAATGATATTCCATCATGTAATCTAAGTCAACAGTGATTACAATGTGATTGGTTTTTATTTCATTTCTATGCTATTTGTAGCCCACTTATAGTCAAAACTGATTCATTGTAGTTTTTGGCCAGGCAGCGCATGAGATGGTTGATATCCATCATGTTACCAATGTCAATAATATCTACAAGTTGTAAGTGTAATTTCATGTCATGGTCAATCTGTAGTCACGATTTAGCTATTAAACGACTATTAGACGGCTATTAGACGTCTTTTAAACGCAAAATTGCTTGCTGGGCACTGTGAGCCTGAGGTCACGGCCAATACAAGACTGAACAACATTAGAGAAAAGTAATAAAACTATAGATGAAGAGTACAGACACACATATTACAGCAGAACATCAATATAAAATAAATGTAATGCAAGAAAATGACCTTACAATACTTCAGAAGAAAACAATAGCATGCAAACAATTTAAAGTGATAAAAAGTCCTCAATCTCAAATGTTCAGGAAATAACCAGCAGTCCTTCATCTATGGATCAAGAGTTATTAAAGCTAAACCTGTGAGCTGTGTCCTGCAAAACTAATATAAAGCCAGTCTGGTATAATTATTAGAGGATCATTACCTCTCTGCATGTATTCCTGCTCCTGCATCCCGTCGGTCAGAGGAAGATCCGCTGTGTGTGTGTGTGTGTGTGTGTGAGCCGCTTCAGCTCTCACACACTCTTATAGCCACTACCCGCTGACGCAAACCGACACACACACACACACTCCACAAAGACACCATTGATTCAGGCTGTACGTGAGTGTCCGTCAAACACGGGTCTGACTTTATGAGCACTGAGGAAACATCAATCCATATCTACAATATGTGTGTTTGAACAATCCCAACAACAATACTCCTCTACAGACTCACAGATGCTGGAATACTGTAAAAACATTTTATTGTGCATTTATTCAGCATTTTTACACAGCAAAAGTCAGTTTGAGATCCTCCTCAAAGAAACAAAATCCATCCAGTTTGTCTTTTTAAAAATAATGATCTTTCTGACAGAAATACTGCATCACAAACACAGGCGTGTGGAAGCTAGAAACACAAGAGCGTATGATTTATGTTGATGACCAGTGAGGGAACCGATGATGAAAGACTTGATCAGACGCGAAACTCAATCCAGAGCATAAAACATCATCACATTATTACACAGTTAAACGTTTTGAGTTTTTTTTCCTCGTTATTCAGAGGCCGATGGAGGATATGTGTCAGAAAGAATCGGACCCACGTCACCCACAGGAGCACCACAGACTCCATAAGCTTTTGACGAGAACTGAAGAGGCACGATGATAATCAGACAACTGCAACAATGAGGCATTAAAGAGATTTTTAGTTTATTTTAGTCAAAATAGCTGAAAAAAAATCACAAATGCAATCAATGTGATTTAATCGTTATGACTTTTGACCAATAGGTGGCGCTGTGACCAAACTGATGTGGGTCAGTGTGAGGACATTAACACACTCAATAATTTTGGCATCATGCTATCAATTTCATTGAACTTGTAATATGTGTTTGCTGGAATGGTCTGTTTAAAAACGGTTTCATTAAAATAGGCAAAACCTTTTGAGTCCCTTCAGGCCATGACACACACCGAGTTCTGCAACGATACGCTAACGCATGCGGAAATTACAGTATTTTACGACAAAATTCTAAAATAAACTAGTTGACATGCAATAATTGGGTTTCATTCGACTCGGTATGTTGCACTGAACTAAAAGAGACTATGATTATTGGGCATTCCGTTCAGAAGTTAAAAGCAAAAATATCCATATTTCATGTCTCCTGACCCGTAGATGGCGCTAGTGTCCTCAGTTCATGCTTGTGGTGACATGAACCCTAATCCTTTTATTTCCGTAAAATTCCAAATGGCGGAAAAAGCCAAGAATTTAGTTAATATTCAAAAGTTAGAATAAACATGAATGGTGGCGCTAGAGGGAGTTAATGATGAGACGGTCCTCCATCTGTGTGCCAAATGACATCATTTCCTGTAAGCAGTTCGATGGGCTCAAGAGCAGAAGAGGAAGAGGAATGATGCGAACACTGACGGACACGACACACACCTCAGAGCTCGGCCCCTAATGAACACACTGATGCGGTCACAGAAAGCACAGTGTGTCCAGTGTGTGTGTGTGTTAGGCGTGTTTCCTCCCGCTCTGCCGTGTGATGGCCGTGTGTGTGTGTGTGTGTTAGGCGTGTTTCCTCCCGCTCTGCCGTGTGATGGCCGTGTGTGTGTGTGTTAGGCGTGTTTCTTCCCGCTCTGCCGTGTGATGGCTGTGTGTGTGTGTGTGTGTTAGGCGTGTTTCCTCCCGCTCTGCCGTGTGATGGATGTGTGTGTGTGTGTGTGTTAGGCGTGTTTCCTCCCGCTCTGCCGTGTGTGTGTGTGTGTGTTAGGCGTGTTTCCTCCCGCTCTGCCGTGTGATGGATGTGTGTGTGTGTGTGTGTTAGGCGTGTTTCCTCCCGCTCTGCCGTGTGATGGCTGTGTGTGTGTGTGTGTGTTAGGCGTGTTTCTTCCCGCTCTGCCGTGTGATGGCCGTGTGTGTGTGTGTGTGTGTGTGTGTTAGGCGTGTTTCCTCCCGCTCTCCCGTGTGATGGCCGTGTGTGTGTGTGTGTGTGTGTGTGTGTTAGGCGTGTTTCCTCCCGCTCTCCCGTGTGATGGCCGTGTGTGTGTGTTAGGCGTGTTTCTTCCCGCTCTGCCGTGTGATGGCCGTGTGTGTGTGTGTGTGTTAGGCGTGTTTCTTCCCGCTCTGCCGTGTGATGGTCGTGTGTGTGTGTGTTAGGCGTGTTTCTTCCCGCTCTGCCGTGTGATGGCCGTGTGTGTGTGTGTGTGTTAGGCGTGTTTCCTCCCGCTCTGCCGTGTGATGGCCGTGTGTGTGTGTGTGTGTGTGTTAGGCGTGTTTCTTCCCGCTCTCCCGTGTGATGGCCATGTGTGTGTGTGTGTGTGTGTTAGGCGTGTTTCTTCCCGCTCTGCCGTGTGATGGCCGTGTGTGTGTGTGTGTGTGTGTGTGTGTTAGGCGTGTTTCTTCCTGCTCTCCCGTGTGATGGCCGTGTGTGTGTGTGTGTGTTAGGCGTGTTTCTTCCCGCTCTCCCGTGTGATGGCCATGTGTGTGTGTGTGTGTGTGTTAGGCGTGTTTCTTCCCGCTCTGCCGTGTGATGGCCATGTGTGTGTGTGTGTGTGTGTGTTAGGCGTGTTTCTTCCCGCTCTCCCGTGTGATGGCCATGTGTGTGTGTGTGTGTGTGTTAGGCGTGTTTCTTCCCGCTCTGCCGTGTGATGGCCGTGTGTGTGTGTGTGTGTGTGTGTGTGTGTTAGGCGTGTTTCTTCCTGCTCTCCCGTGTGATGGCCGTGTGTGTGTGTGTGTGTTAGGCGTGTTTCTTCCCGCTCTCCCGTGTGATGGCCATGTGTGTGTGTGTGTGTGTGTTAGGCGTGTTTCTTCCCGCTCTGCCGTGTGATGGCCATGTGTGTGTGTGTGTGTGTGTGTTAGGCGTGTTTCTTCCTGCTCTGGCGTGTGATGGCTGTGTGTGTGTGTGTGTGTGTTAGGCGTGTTTCTTCCCGCTCTGCCGTGTGATGGCCGTGTGTGTGTGTGTGTGTTAGGCGTGTTTCCTCCCGCTCTGCCGTGTGATGGTCGTGTGTGTGTGTGTTAGGCGTGTTTCTTCCCGCTCTGCCGTGTGATGGCCGTGTGTGTGTGTGTGTGTTAGGCGTGTTTCCTCCCGCTCTGCCGTGTGATGGCTGTGTGTGTGTGTGTGTGTGTTAGGCGTGTTTCCTCCCGCTCTGCCGTGTGATGGATGTGTGTGTGTGTGTGTGTTAGGCGTGTTTCTTCCCGCTCTGCCGTGTGATGGCCGTGTGTGTGTGTGTGTGTTAGGCGTGTTTCCTCCCGCTCTGCCGTGTGATGGCCGTGTGTGTGTGTGTGTGTGTTAGGCGTGTTTCTTCCCGCTCTCCCGTGTGATGGCCGTGTGTGTGTGTGTGTGTGTGTTAGGCGTGTTTCCTCCCGCTCTGCCGTGTGATGGCTGTGTGTGTGTGTGTGTTAGGCGTGTTTCCTCCCGCTCTGCCGTGTGATGGCCATGTGTGTGTGTGTGTGTGTGTGTTAGGCGTGTTTCTTCCCGCTCTGCCGTGTGATGGCCGTGTGTGTGTGTGTGTTAGGCGTGTTTCTTCCCGCTCTCCCGTGTGATGGCCGTGTGTGTGTGTGTGTTAGGCGTGTTTCCTCCCGCTCTGCCGTGTGATGGCTGTGTGTGTGTGTGTGTGTTAGGCGTGTTTCCTCCCGCTCTGCCGTGTGATGGCCATGTGTGTGTGTGTGTGTGTGTGTTAGGCGTGTTTCCTCCCGCTCTGCCGTGTGATGGCCGTGTGTGTGTGTGTGTGTGTTAGGCGTGTTTCTTCCCGCTCTGCCGTGTGATGGCCGTGTGTGTGTGTGTGTGTTAGGCGTGTTTCCTCCCGCTCTGCCATGTGATGGCCGTGTGTGTGTGTGTGTGTGTGTGTTAGGCGTGTTTCTTCCCGCTCTGCCGTGTGATGGCCGTGTGTGTGTGTGTGTTAGGCGTGTTTCTTCCCGCTCTGCCGTGTGATGGCCGTGTGTGTGTGTGTGTTAGGCGTGTTTCCGCCCGCTCTGCCGTGTGATGGCCATGTGTGTGTGTGTGTGTGTGTGTGTGTGTGTGTGTGTTAGGCGTGTTTCCTCCCGCTCTGCCGTGTGATGGCCATGTGTGTGTGTGTGTGTTAGGCGTGTTTCCTCCCGCTCTGCCGTGTGATGGCCGTGTGTGTGTGTGTGTGTTAGGCGTGTTTCTTCCCGCTCTGCCGTGTGATGGCCGTGTGTGTGTGTGTGTTAGGCGTGTTTCTTCCCGCTCTGCCGTGTGATGGCCGTGTGTGTGTGTGTGTTAGGCGTGTTTCTTCCCGCTCTGCCGTGTGATGGCCGTGTGTGTGTGTGTGTTAGGCGTGTTTCCTCCCGCTCTGCCGTGTGATGGCCGTGTGTGTGTGTGTGTGTGTGTTAGGCGTGTTTCCTCCCGCTCTGCCGTGTGATGGCCGTGTGTGTGTGTGTGTGTGTGTGTTAGGCGTGTTTCTTCCCGCTCTGCCGTGTGATGGCCGTGTGTGTGTGTGTGTGTTAGGCGTGTTTCCTCCCGCTCTGCCATGTGATGGCCGTGTGTGTGTGTGTGTGTGTGTGTTAGGCGTGTTTCTTCCCGCTCTGCCGTGTGATGGCCGTGTGTGTGTGTCTGTGATAGGCGTGTTTCTTCCCGCTCTGCCGTGTGATGGCCGTGTGTGTGTGTGTGTTAGGCGTGTTTCTTCCCGCTCTGCCGTGTGATGGCCGTGTGTGTGTGTGTGTTAGGCGTGTTTCTTCCCGCTCTGCCGTGTGATGGCCGTGTGTGTGTGTGTGTTAGGCGTGTTTCCGCCCGCTCTGCCGTGTGATGGCCATGTGTGTGTGTGTGTGTGTGTGTGTGTGTGTGTTAGGCGTGTTTCCTCCCGCTCTGCCGTGTGATGGCCATGTGTGTGTGTGTGTGTTAGGCGTGTTTCCTCCCGCTCTGCCGTGTGATGGCCGTGTGTGTGTGTGTGTGTTAGGCGTGTTTCTTCCCGCTCTGCCGTGTGATGGCCGTGTGTGTGTGTGTGTTAGGCGTGTTTCTTCCCGCTCTGCCGTGTGATGGCCGTGTGTGTGTGTGTGTTAGGCGTGTTTCTTCCCGCTCTGCCGTGTGATGGCCGTGTGTGTGTGTGTGTTAGGCGTGTTTCCTCCCGCTCTGCCGTGTGATGGCCGTGTGTGTGTGTGTGTGTGTTAGGCGTGTTTCCTCCCGCTCTGCCGTGTGATGGCCGTGTGTGTGTGTGTGTGTTAGGCGTGTTTCTTCCCGCTCTGCCGTGTGATGGCCGTGTGTGTGTGTCTGTGATAGGCGTGTTTCTTCCCGCTCTGCCGTGTGATGGCCGTGTGTGTGTGTGTGTTAGGCGTGTTTCTTCCCGCTCTGCCGTGTGATGGCCGTGTGTGTGTGTGTGTGTTAGGCGTGTTTCTTCCCGCTCTGCCGTGTGATGGCCGTGTGTGTGTGTGTGTTAGGCGTGTTTCTTCCCGCTCTGCCGTGTGATGGCCGTGTGTGTGTGTGTGTGTTAGGCGTGTTTCTTCCCGCTCTGCCGTGTGATGGCCGTGTGTGTGTGTGTGTGTTAGGCGTGTTTCTTCCCGCTCTGCCGTGTGATGGCTGTGTGTGTGTGTGTGTGTTAGGCGTGTTTCTTCCCGCTCTGCCGTGTGATGGCCGTGTGTGTGTGTGTGTCTGTGATAGGCGTGTTTCTTCCCGCTCTGCCGTGTGTGTGTGTTAGGCGTGTTTCCTCCCGCTCTGCCGTGTGATGGCTGTGTGTGTGTGTGTGTGTTAGGCGTGTTTCTTCCCGCTCTGCCGTGTGATGGCTGTGTGTGTGTGTGTGTGTTAGGCGTGTTTCTTCCCGCTCTGCCGTGTGATGGCCGTGTGTGTGTGTGTGTGTGTGTGTGTGTTAGGCGTGTTTCCTCCCGCTCTGCCGTGTGATGGCCGTGTGTGTGTGTGTGTGTGTGTGTTAGGCGTGTTTCTTCCCGCTCTGCCGTGTGATGGCCGTGTGTGTGTGTGTGTGTGTTAGGCGTGTTTCTTCCCGCTCTGCCGTGTGATGGATGTGTGTGTGTGTGTGTGTTAGGCGTGTTTCCTCCCGCTCTGCCGTGTGATGGCCGTGTGTGTGTGTGTGTGTGTTAGGCGTGTTTCCTCCCGCTCTGCCATGTGATGGCCGTGTGTGTGTGTGTGTGTGTGTGTGATAGGCGTGTTTCTTCCCGCTCTGCCGTGTGTGTGTGTGTGTGTGTTAGGCGTGTTTCCTCCCGCTCTGCCGTGTGATGGCTGTGTGTGTGTGTGTGTCTGTGATAGGCGTGTTTCCTCCCGCTCTGCCGTGTGATGGCCGTGTGTGTGTGTGTGTGTGTTAGGCGTGTTTCCTCCCGCTCTGCCATGTGATGGCCGTGTGTGTGTGTGTGTGTGTGTGTGTGATAGGCGTGTTTCTTCCCGCTCTGCCGTGTGTGTGTGTGTGTGTGTGTGTGTGATAGGCGTGTTTCTTCCCGCTCTGCCGTGTGTGTGTGTGTGTTAGGCGTGTTTCCTCCCGCTCTGCCGTGTGTGTGTGTGTGTGTGTGTGTGTGATAGGCGTGTTTCTTCCCGCTCTGCCGTGTGTGTGTGTGTGTTAGGCGTGTTTCCTCCCGCTCTGCCGTGTGATGGCCGTGTGTGTGTGTGTGTGTGTTAGGCGTGTTTCCTCCCGCTCTGCCATGTGATGGCCGTGTGTGTGTGTGTGTGTGTGTGTGATAGGCGTGTTTCTTCCCGCTCTGCCGTGTGTGTGTGTGTGTGTGTTAGGCGTGTTTCCTCCCGCTCTGCCGTGTGATGGCTGTGTGTGTGTGTGTGTCTGTGATAGGCGTGTTTCCTCCCGCTCTGCCGTGTGATGGCTGTGTGTGTGTGTGTGTGTTAGGCGTGTTTCTTCCCGCTCTGCCGTGTGATGGCTGTGTGTGTGTGTGTGTGTGTGTTAGGCGTGTTTCTTCCCGCTCTGCCGTGTGATGGCCGTGTGTGTGTGTGTGTCTGTGATAGGCGTGTTTCTTCCCGCTCTGCCGTGTGTGTGTGTGTGTGTGTTAGGCGTGTTTCCTCCCGCTCTGCCATGTGATGGCTGTGTGTGTGTGTGTGTGTTAGGCGTGTTTCTTCCCGCTCTGCCGTGTGATGGCTGTGTGTGTGTGTGTTAGGCGTGTTTCTTCCCGCTCTGCCGTGTGATGGCTGTGTGTGTGTGTGTGTGTTAGGCGTGTTTCTTCCCGCTCTGCCGTGTGATGGCTGTGTGTGTGTGTGTGTGTTAGGCGTGTTTCTTCCCGCTCTGCCGTGTGATGGCTGTGTGTGTGTGTGTGTGTTAGGCGTGTTTCTTCCCGCTCTGCCGTGTGATGGCTGTGTGTGTGTGTCTGTGATAGGCGTGTTTCTTCCCGCTCTGCCATGTGATGGCTGTGTGTGTGTGTGTGTGTTAGGCGTGTTTCCTCCCGCTCTGCCGTGTGATGGCTGTGTGTGTGTGTGTGTGTTAGGCGTGTTTCTTCCCGCTCTGCCGTGTGATGGCCGTGTGTGTGTGTGTGTGTGTGTTAGGCGTGTTTCCTCCCGCTCTGCCGTGTGATGGCCGTGTGTGTGTGTGTGTGTGTGTTAGGCGTGTTTCTTCCCGCTCTGCCGTGTGATGGCCGTGTGTGTGTGTGTGTGTTAGGCGTGTTTCTTCCCGCTCTGCCGTGTGATGGCCGTGTGTGTGTGTGTGTGTGTGTTAGGCGTGTTTCTTCCCGCTCTGCCATGTGATGGCCGTGTGTGTGTGTGTGTGTGTGTTAGGCGTGTTTCTTCCCGCTCTGCCGTGTGATGGCCGTGTGTGTGTGTGTTAGGCGTGTTTCTTCCCGCTCTGCCGTGTGATGGCCGTGTGTGTGTGTGTTAGGCGTGTTTCTTCCCGCTCTGCCGTGTGATGGCCTCCAGCTTCAGCCGGTACGCTTCGGCCTCCTGCTCCTTCTTCAGGAGCTGCTGTCGGTATTTCTGTGCCTCACGGTTCGCCTCCTCCAGCTGCTTTAGAAGAGACACTTTCTCCTGTCACACACACACACACACACACACACAGTCAGACTGTTTACATGTTTATCACTGGATAAAACATGTACATGTTATGTGTCAGATGCTGGTGTGAGAGGGGTTGTGGGCCGTGTGTGTGTGTGTCGCACCTGGAAGTCCTCCAGCGAGACCGTTTGCTGGATCTGAATGTCCTGTGTTTCTATCGTCTGATCCTCGTCTTCTTCTTTCACTCGCTGCCGTTTGAATGAAGGTTCGTCGCTGATCACCGTTTCCTCTGCGACCTCTGTGTCCGACACTGTCAGCACTGCAGGAACACACACACACTGAGTGAGACCAGCGAGTAACACTCACACAGCCGGATCAGGGCCGTATCCAGATCAGATGGTGGACCTGTGCCTAGACAAAATAATGTAGAATTCATAGACAATTGGAAAAGTTTTTGGGGCAAGCCTGACCTGTTGAAAAGAGATGGTATTCATCCCTCCTGGGATGGTGCTGCTCTTCTCTCTAGTAATTTGGCTCATAGTCTCAGAGCTCAAACATGACAATCTGGGGCTCAGGTCAGGAAGCAGACAGACTGGCTAAACCGACCGTCTGCTAGCGGCCTCACGTCACTGAGGTCAGATAAATCCCATCACATAGAGCCTCTTTCACCTAGATATCATCATATAGAGACTGTGTCTGTTCCCCGAATTTGGAAATCCAAAAAACGTCAGGTTAAAAATTTAATTGATGTTGAACAAATAAAAAACAGATATAATACAGATGAGCAAATGATAAAGCTTGGGTTGCTGAATATTCGATCCCTTACTCCAAAATCACTCATAGTTAATGATATGATTTCAGATTATAATCTAGATGTCCTGTGTTTGACAGAAACCTGGTTAAAACCAAATGATTATATTACTTTAAATGAGTCAACCCCACAAGATTACAGTTATAAACATGAGCCTCGTCTGAAAGGCAAAGGGGGAGGTGTTGCTGTAATTTATAGTAATATTTTCAAAACCACTAAGAAATCTAGTTTTAAATATACTTCTTTTGAAGACAGGCCACCAGGGCACCTTACAGACTTTAGCAAAGAATTTGCTGACTTTCTATCAGAATTAGTATTGGCTGCAGATAAAGTCCTAATTGTTGGTGATTTTAATATACATGTGGATAATGAAAAAGATGCATTGGGATTGGCATTTAAAGATATTGTAAACTCAATTGGAGTTAGACAACACGTGTCGGGACCTACTCATTGTCGTAATCATACTCTAGATCTAATATTATCACATGGAATAGATGTTGATGCTGTTGAAATTCTGCAGCAGAGCGATGACATCTCAGATCATTATCTAGTCTCATGTAAATTACATTTAGCCAAGGCTGCAAAGCCGACTCCGTGTTATAAATACGTCAGACCTATAACTTCTGCCACTAAAGATTGCTTTATCAATAATCTTCCTAATCAGTTTCATCATCTCAGCATCCCGGATAGCTTAGAAGAACTCGATATTGCAACAGAAACCTTTAACTCTCTCTTTTCCAGCACTTTAGACGCAGTTGCTCCATTGCGCTTAAAGAAGATTAAAGAAAATAGTCCAACGCCGTGGTACAGCGAGCACACTCTCACACACACACACACACACACACACACACACACACCCAGGCCCTTAAGAGAGCAGCCAGAAAAATGGAGCGCAACTGGAAGAAAACTAAACTAGAGGTATTTCGGATTTCATGGAAAGAGAGCTCAATTGCTTACAGAGAGGCTTTAAAAGCTGCTAGATCTGCTTATTTTTCAACCCTATTAGAAGAAAATAAACATAATCCTAGGTATCTATTTGAAACAGTAGCTAAACTAACGAAAAAGAAAGCTTCAAGCTCAGAAGTGTCCAAGCAACACAGCAGTAATGACTTTATGAACTTCTTCACTTATAAGATCGATAATATTAGGGACAAAATTATAACTATGCAACCGTCTACCACAGTATCGCATCAGACAGTGCATTGTAGTCTCCCTGAGGAAACATTTTATTCATTTGTTGCCATAGGAGAGGACGAATTTTCTAAACTTGTTAAATCATCTAAATCGACAACATGTATGTTAGACCCTATACCGACTAAGCTACTGAAAGAGATGCTTCTAGAGGTCATAGATCCTCTTCTTAATATCATTAATTCATCTTTGTCACTAGGATACGTACCAAAAACCTTTAAGCTGGCTATGATAAAACCGCTCGATCTCGAATCTGCCTTTTCTATCAAAGATATTAGAAAAAGCAGTATCCTCACAACTGTGTTCCTTTCTAGAAAGAAATGATATCTGCGAGGATTTTCAGTCCGGATTCAGACCGTACCATAGCACTGAGACCGCTCTCATCAGAGTCACAAATGATTTGCTCTTATCATCCGATCGTGGTTGTATCTCTCTATTAGTGTTACTCGATCTTAGTGCTGCATTTGATACTATTGACCACAACATTCTTTTAAATAGACTCGAAAATTATGTTGGCATTAGTGGAGTTGCACTAGCATGGTTTAAATCACACTTATCTGACCGTTATCCGTTTGTAGCAATAAATGAAGATATGTCTTTTCGATCACAAGTTCAGTATGGCGTACCACAAGGCTCAATACTAGGACCGCTGCTGTTCACTCTGTACATGCTACCATTAGGAGATATCATTAGGGAACATGGAGTTAGTTTTCACTGTTATGCCGATGATACTCAGCTGTATATTTCTTCACGCCCCGACGAAACTTACCAATTCACAAAATTAACGGAATGCATAGCCGATATAAAAATTGGATGACTAGTAATTTCCTACTACTAAATTCTGAAAAGACAGAGATTCTAATTATTGGACAAAAAACTTCCACACGTAATAACCTAGAATACTGTCTAACACTTGATGGCTGCTCTGTTAAGTCTTCGTCGTCAGTTAGGAACCTGGGTGTGTGTGTGTGTGTGTGTGTGTGTGTGTGCTCTTTGATACCAATCTCTCATTTGAAAGTCACGTGTCTAGTATCTGTAAAACCGCATTTTTCCATCTTAAAAACATATCTAAATTACGCCATATGCTCTCATTAACAAATGCAGAACAATTAGTTCATGCGTTCATGACATCAAGGCTAGATTACTGTAATGCTCTACTGGGTGGTTGCCCTGCATGCTTAATAAACAAACTCCAGCTGGTTCAAAACGCCGCAGCTCGAGTTCTTACCAGAACCAGGAAATATGACCATATTAGCCCGGTTCTGTCAACACTGCATTGGCCGCCTATTAAACATCGTATAAATTTTAAAATATTGTTGATTACCTACAAAGCACTAAATGGTTTAGCTCCGCAGTGCTTGAGCGAGCTCTTAACGCATTATAGTCCTTCACGTCTATTGCGATCTCAAAATTCCGGCCAGTTGATAATACCTAGAATATCTAAATCGACTGCTGGCGGGAGATCCTTTTCCTATTTAGCACCAAAACTCTGGAACAGTCTTCCTACCATTGTCCGGGAAGCAGACCACACTCTGTCAGTTCAAAGCTAGACTAAAAACACATCTCTTGACCTAGCATACACATAATATATTTGACGTGTGGTGTTTGTCAACGCGCCTTTTGAGAGAAGAAGGAAAGTGACCGCTCGGCTATTATCGATACTTCGGAAATTAGTATTGGTACCATTCAGATATTTCAGTATCGATATTTATCGAAATATCGATATTTTTGACAACACTACATCATGTGTTGTGGTCGTGTCTAGGCGCAGGTCCTCCATCTGATCTGGATACGGCCCGGATCCGGCTGACTACATCATGCGTTGTGGTCGTGTCTAGTCAAGTCAAGTCAAGTCATCTTCATTTATATAGCGCTTTTAACAATGGGGATTGTTTCAAAGCAGCTTTACAGAGATAAACATACAATTTACGGTAACAGAGATTGTTTTGGCTTTATAACGATTTTGAATAATGTTATTTCCGGCTAAAGTTGGTTTTGATTGATTCACTTCCAGCAAAATTATTCCAGCAGATGGTGGACCTGCGCCTAGACACGACCACAACGCATGATGTAGTCAGCCGGATCAGGGCCGTATCCAGATCAGATGGAGGACCTGCGCTAGACACGACCACAACGCATGATGTAGTCAGCCGGATCAGGGCCGTATCCAGATCAGATGGAGGACCCTGCGCTTAGACACGACCACAACACATGATGTAGTCAGCCGGATCAGGGCCGTATCCAGATCAGATGGTGGACCTGCGCCTAGACATGACCACAACACATGATGTAGTCAGCCGGATCCGGGCCGCATCCAGATCAGATGGTGGACCTGCGCCTAGACACGACCACAACACATGATGCAGTCAGCCGGATCCGGGCCGTATCCAGATCAGATGGTGGACCTGCGCCTAGACACGACCACAACACATGATGTAGTCAGCCGGATCCGGGCCGTATCCAGATCAGATGGTGGACCCTGCGCCTAGACACGACCACAACACATGATGTAGTCAGCCGGATCCGGGCCGTATCCAGATCAGATGGTGGACCTGCGCCTAGACACGACCACAACACATGATGTAGTCAGCCGGATCCGGGCCTTATCCAGATCAGATGGAGGACCTTGCGCCTAGACACGACCACAACACATGATGTAGTCAGCCGGATCCGGGTCTTATCCAGATCAGATGGTGGACCTGCGCCTAGACACGACCACAACACATGATGTAGTCAGCCGGATCCGGGCCGTATCCAGATCAGATGGAGGACCTGCGCCTAGACACGACCACAACGCATGATGTAGTCAGCCGGATCCGGGCCGTATCCAGATCAGATGGAGGACCTGCGCCTAGACACGACCACAACTCATGATGTAGTCAGCCGGATTCCGGGCCGTATCCAGATCAGATGGAGGACCTGCGCCTAGACACGACCACAACACATGATGTAGTCAGCCGGATCCGGGCCGTATCCAGATCAGATGGAGGACCTGCGCCTAGACACGACCACAACACATGATGTAGTCAGCCGGATCCGGGCCGTATCCAGATCAGATGGAGGACCTGCGCCTAGACACGACCACAACACATGATGTAGTCAGACGGATCCGGGCCGTATCCAGATCAGATGGAGGACCTCCGCCTAGACACGACCACAACACATGATGTAGTCAGCCGGATCCGGGCCGTATCCAGATCAGATGGAGGACCTGCGCCTAGACACGACCACAACGCATGATGTATTCAGCCGGATCCGGGCCGTATCCAGATCAGATGGTGGACCTGCGCCTAGACACGACCACAACACATGATGTAGTCAGCCGGATCCGGGCCGTATCCAGATCAGATGGAGGACCTGCGCCTAGACACGACCACAACACATGATGTAGTCAGACGGATCCGGGCCGTATCCAGATCAAATGGAGGACCTGCGCCTAGACACGACCACAACACATGATGTAGTCAGCCGGATCCGGCCCGTATCCAGATCAGATGGAGGACCTGCGCCTAGACACGACCACAACGCATGATGTAGTCAGCCGGATCCTGGCCGTATCCAGATCAGATGGAGGACCTGCGCCTAGACACGACCACAACGCATGATGTAGTCAGCCGGATCCGGGCCGTATGCAGATCAGATGGAGGACCTGCGCCTAGACACGACCACAACGCATGATGTAGTCAGCCGGATCCGGGCCGTATCCAGATCAGATGGTGGACCTGCGCCTAGACACGACCACAACACATGATGTAGTCAGCCGGATCCGGGCCGTATCCAGATCAGATGGAGGACCTGCACCTAGACACGACCACAACACATGATGTAGTCAGCCGGATCCGGGCCGTATCCAGATCAGATGGAGGACCTGCGCCTAGACACGACCACAACACTGAAACACTGATTGATGGATTACATGAGACATGTTTGATTTCAGGAAGTTGTTCTGTATCTTCCAAGATTCCTTCTGATGTTCATCATGTTTATTCACTGCCAGTAGTAAAGAGGAAGAGATGATCGGTTCAACATGAAAGAGACACAAACACACATTTACTGACTGAACTTCATCATGAAACTCACAGAAATTGAAAGCTGAGACTTTCTTTCATCAAAAGTATCGTAGCTTATTGCGATTATGGGACGGCACAGATATCATTTAGTGGAGTTTTAGTCGTTCATCGGCATCTAAAAGATCCATTCTTGGATTTAAGAATCAAAATGAGAAACCAGAAATCGAGCGCTTCCGTGTCACTCACCCTGCTGCCCATCAGGCATGGTGACTATTATGGGCTGACTGATGCCCGTGCCCGTCTGCAGGTTGCCCAGCTGAATGCCGTCTGTTACTATGGTGATGACCTGCTGACCTCCAGAGCTCACGACCTGCTGGATGGCCCCGTCCACTGTGTCTGCAGTGATGAGCTCGTCTGAGAGAGAGAGA